GAACCTAATTACTGCTATAATTTGTCGAATATGTCGAATAGTAGGTAGAGCCAACTAGCTCGGACAGCCAGCTTGTTGACTTCCGATACGCCGGCTGAAATGGGTGGCGTCAATGATGATCATCTGCGCTCTTGATGTGAGGCTCTTACCTGTACAGAATGAACTATAAGTTCAATTTCGGTCTCGAAGAGAAAAAAAATACCGTTGATGAATAATAATGGTTCGTCTAGCCGCCAGTGCTTTGAGAGAGTAAAGAAGAATAGGAGGGTACCATGCTCCCGTCTATAACATTGAGATGTTCTTGCAAGACACGCGTCATCGCGCAGTCTGAACGCTGCCTTAAAAACAGAAAAAGACATTTTTGTACTAAATTTCTTAACCATGTTTATTTATTCTTCTTTTGAACGGTTTTTCAGGTGAAGAAATGATCGCCGCTCTAATCGCTATCGGAGATTATGCCATAGAACATAAGAAGATCTAATAATTGCATGGATTTCTATCTGTATAAATAGCCGGATACGGTGTTCTCGTCACCTCTGTAGTCCATTCTCATTGTTGTAGTCACATGCACTTACTGTCATCACTCATTGTTTTATTGAATTGTTTTGTCTTATCCGTAATTGCGGACATTCTCAAACCGGTACGACCGAATTGTTCACCAATTGTGCAGAGCTTTAACGTCCTTTTTTACTCTCCTTTCTCTTTCTCTACTAGTTCCGTCGGACACGGTAGGACGTCTTTTCCAGTAATTATATAAAAGATTCTCCCGTTCGTCAGAGCAGTAAATAAACAATTATTGTTGGTAATCTGTGGACTGACAAAACCGTAACATCTTTCACCCGCGATAGTCTCGTTGGCTGCAAACTCTCGAGCGTTTCAAGAGGCTAGGTTTGGGGCGACGCCATCCCGTTTTCCACCTATTGTTGTCGCTTGCGCGCTCCAATAATTGGTGGAGAATGGAATGACGCCGCGCCAAATCCAGCCCCCTGACACGTCTCAGCATCCACAGCGAACAAGACTGTAAATGGAAGGACGCATTTTCCAGTTCACCTTGCAGTAGTGGGATTGGAGCGGTATATCTGAACTGAGCCCCGATCGAGATTATTTAACGAAGTTACTGAAACCGTGGAGGGAGAGGGTGGCCTGCTCAGCAACGCCCTTCCCCCGAAATAGTAACCTGATCGTCTCCCTGGGCGCAGCCTTGGAGTGCGCTAGGCGATTAGTCTGCGCCGCGAACCATCGCCACTCCATCAGCCCCTGTATCTCTGATTTCAGCTCGTCCTTTTATTTAACGCGCCTTGCTTGTTCTCTTCGCTGCACGGTCGTGACGCTGATGTATTAGGTTGGCTAATAAGTAATGGCCGTTTTTTTCAATTGAAAAATTTGTTCGAAAAGTGAAACGTTTTGCAAGCAAGTTATATATCATCTGATAGGAAACTTCTCGTAGTATAAGAATATCAAAAAAGCTTTGGTTGAGGATATAGTTTTTGTGAATTTTTTAGTCGTTGAAGTTGGAAGTGAAGTCGGCGAAAATTAGCATCTTCGACAAC